CTGCCGCCCCATCCCACCCCCCAGCGCATGATCCGGGCCAAGCCCATGCTTCTCAACCTGAGCACCCAGAAGCTCGCCTCAAAGTGCAAGGCCCTCATCTCATTGGAAGGCTTACCTGCGACCGCCGCCTCGGAGATGGCCGCGGCCGTCCCGGGCGTGCTGCTGCTCGCGACCGCGAAGCTGCAGCAGCGGTGGCTGTTCCTGCGCGCCGCGGCGGGTGCGCGGGTCCGCGCGTGCGGGCCGGGGCCTGCCTGGCTCGGGGGCCGGCGGCGGGCGGGGGCGGGCACGGCCGGCCGCGCCGGCACCCCCGCCTAGCAGCGGAGCCGCAGCTTGACCGCCTTGTTACGCCTGCACAGCTGGGCCGGCGCCGGCCCTCCTTGCACTTTGGTCCGCACACGCCTGCCTACCCCAGCGGTCTTGCACTTGCGTTGCCCACACCACCCCCACACCAGCTGTCTGTGGTCCCCCCTCCTCACCTAACCCCCCAACCCCAAGCACAACTCAGCCGCAGCCCCCCTCGCGCTCACACCTTCCCCACAGCAGCCGCTGACTCTTGCCCCTTTCCCCCTCGCCCCCCCGTCCTCTCCCGTCCTTCGAAACCAGCCATCTCCCCGCGCTGGCGCGCCGAGTGGCCCCGCCTCAGCCCCTCCTGCCTCGGCGTGCTCCTGAACAGCAGCGACCGCCGCCTCGCGCGGCTGCGCTTCGTGTACGCCGCCCGAGAGGCGGCCGGGGTGCCGCTCTTCAACGCCGTGGTGATGCCTGACGCCGCGTTTGCGACGCGGTTCGAGGGCCACGCGCGGTGGTGGGCGCGCGAGCAGGCCGGCGGCGGCGGCGGCGCGGCGAGCGGCGGCGGCGGCGGCGCGGCGCTGTCTTGAGGGGCTGAGACCCTCGGGTGGGCGGCTGCGCCGGGCGCGCCGGGGCGCAGCACGGCCCGCGCCACCTGCAACATGGCTGGCCGCGGCGCCGGTTCCAAACCAACGGGTGCGAACAGGGGCGTGTTTGGTGTTTTGTACGCGTGCTGCCTGCCAGCTCGCCCAATTTTTACGCGTCGGTCCGTTTGCGATTAGCGTTTACCGGACGCTGCCGCGCGGTATGTCGGCAGGGGCGCGCGCGCCTGCTCCGTCCTGGCAGCTGCCGGCGCCGCGCAGAGTGCCCACTATCTTTTTCCCAGCGCTGATGTCTTGAGCACCATACCCCCTCCCCTCGGCGGCCGCTCGGAAGCAAGGCGGACGCCGCTGCGACGCGGGCGCCGAACCCTGATGAGCCGCGCTCGATTCCTCAGCGCTGATCAGTCAGATCCAATCCGTCATTACATCCGGACAAGCACACGCAAGCCCACCCTTAGTCGTGGCACGTCGGCCGCATCTCGCACGTCCCCGCTCGATCCACCATCCCCACAGAAGCGGGGCGCAAACGCCCAGCCGCGTGCGCCCCAGCGGCAAGCGCAGCGATCGCAGCGCGCCGGCCAAACCCCTGCCCGCATTTCGCGATCTGATTCGTAGACGATCTATCCATGTAATCAATGCGCCACCTGCTGAGGCAGCCTGCTACACACGCTGCCTGCTCGACTCCCACCACAGCAAATCCGGCGGCCGGGCGCCGCGCCGCACGCCGCCGTGGGTCGGCCGCGCGCCGACGCCGGCCCCCGCTCTTTGCTACGAGGGCGTATAAGACCACCGGCCGCATTGCGGCCCGCGCTGCTTTGCGCTTGGGCACGCAAGGCGGCGGTGGGGGCCCATCACGAGGAGAGAGCGCGAAAAGGAACAAAGGCATCCTGCTGCGAGGCGGGCCGGCAGCTTCTCTCCAGCTGCTGGGCGCCGCCAGACCCTCCGAATGAAAAGCCCTGCAGGCCGCTGCCCGAGAGCAAAATCTGGGATGGAAAAATGAAGCAGTGCAGAGTGGCGGCCAATGCGCCCCCGCCCCGTCCCACGTTAGAGCCACGGCGGCGAAACAAGGGAGATGCGGAAAGGCGCCGCCGTCGCGCCGGCCGCGCTCTCAGCGAGAGCAGTTTAAACAAACAAATTGGCGAAGCCTCCCAATGCCATTGGCTTGACGCCTGCTTGCTTCACGCTGCCAAAAAACGCATGAGGGGTTCAAGACACTGCCGCCGTGGCGTCGCAGCAGGGCCGTCCGGCGCATCCGCAGAAAAGCCTTGCACTCCTGAAATACAAGTTGCAGATGCATCAAGACAGGTGGGGGCGTCACCCCTGCAAAGGCGCGAGTTCGGCACCCCTGCAAGGGCGTGAATTCGAAATCCAAAAAACCGCCGATTTACTGCTCAAAGTGGTCTGGCTGCTGCGCCAGGCAAGCCGCCACCACGTCTGCCGCCGCCACCCCCACCGCCTGCGCCAGCGGCGCCCGCCCCCGCACCAGCGCCCACGCGCCGCGCCGCGCGCCCGCGCCGGCGGCGCGCCAGCCGGCGGCCAGCGCGCGCGCATACAGCGCGGCCAGGTCGGGCGCCAGGGGGTGGCCGCCGAACCGCGAGAGCGCCCACTCGCCGTCGGCCGGGCCGAGAGCGCGCGCCATCAGCCACTTCACTGGCGGGAAAAGCGGCGCGTATCCGAGGAAGTCGGCGAGAAGCCAGAGGTCCGCCAGATCGTCCTTGGACAGCGCGCCGGCGCGCCGGCCCGAGGTCGTCGGCGCGAGCGCGGCGGCGCTATCACCAGCAGCCGCAAGCAGCAGCTCTGACTCTAGCTCCGCTTGCTCCGCCGCCGCCGCCGCCGCCGCCGCGGCGGCGCCGACGTT